CTGCCAGCCTCAGGGGAGCGGTCCCCAGTTAAAGCATCCCCCACCCCATCCCACCGACCCCCTTTTTTTTTCCCCCTGAAATATGGGGGTTCGCAAAATAAATTTTAAAAAATAATAAAATAAATCCATAATATCACAGCAGGGATGCAGCCAGGATTTACCCTGGGAATCCCTCCTGCTCCTCTCCGCATCCCTGCCACGTTAATCCCTCCTTATTAATAACCCTGGAGCTATTTAAGGGATGGGGGGGATAGAAATAAGAATTAGCTTTTGTCTCCCAAGAGTTTCCTCCAACTCCTTATTAATTCCTCCAGCCGACGGCCCCGCCTCCCAACTGCGGTTTCGAGGCTTTATTTCACCACCTGGGTGATTTTCCACCATCACCTTGGCCAAAAAATAGAATTAATTCAGATTATTTCCAGCGCGCGGGATGCCGGGGAGAGCGGCGCGGTCCCCGGAGCAAAGCAGGGATGTTTTCTCCCCCAGATCCCAGTCCTTTAAAATAATAATTAAAAAAAACCCCAGCAAATATTTGCTGCAAGGTAAGGTTTTTTTCCCCCAGCCCTGACTGGGTCGGTGCGGCGCGTTACCGGTGTTTTAAGGGCCGAGTGGTTTATTTCCCAGTTTTTCCAAGGAATCAGTTGCGGCGATTCGAAGGCGTCGGTGCGGGAATGAGGGCTCCGGTGAAGCAAGATTATCCTGCATCTTCAAAATTCCCCCAAACTGGGTGTTTCGATGCGGCTGCGGTTGGTGGAGGTGGCAATAAGGGGTGGCTCGGCGAGCGGTGGGAATGAAACGATAGCAAAAAGTTGGGGGTTTCCCCCTAAAAAAAGCCAAAATATGGATATTTTTTCCCCAAAAAAAAAAAATTTTAAAAAAAGAGTTTTCACGGGAAAAAAAAAATCCATGAAAATTCAAGATTCACGGCGCTTTTGTGATTATTTTTTATATGAGCTCTTTTCAAGAGGCATCAGCTTCTGGGAAAAGCTCTTCCTGACCACAGCGTTTCCCTCTTTCACCTCGAAACGGCTCCTCTGGGCAAATATCCCGCAAATATTCCAGTCAGAAACCCAAGACCTGGAAAACTGCCGCCGTTTTCCTTTCTATTTTCCTTTTCAACATCGCCGACGAACCGGAAAAAAAATCCATCCCTCGTCCAGCTCGCGCCGTGCAAAGTACAAATGCAGGGAAAAAAGGGGGGCGGGGGGGAAATGAGTAAAAAATCAGAATTATAGCACTTAAATTAAAGAAATAGAGCCTGTTTTGCAAAGATTTCTCGCAAACAGACCCAAAAAAGCAACGAAAAAGCCTCATTTATTGCCAAAAACCTCCCCAGTTCGATGCTTATCCCAATCTCCACCTTTCGATGCTTTCTAAAGTCATTGCAAAGTTCACCCGCTGCGAAACCCTCCCAGAAAGGATCGGGAGAAGAATTTCAATCAGAAATAACAAGAAAAAAGCAGGAAAATGGGTTTTTTTTTCCCTATTAGTGTTTCCAGCTCAAAATTCCCAACAATTTGGGGGTTTGCTTTATTGCAAAGCTTCAAATTTAAACCTCTCCCACCCTTTGCAAATGATTTCTCCTCTCGCCGATCCTTATTTTGGCTGAAAAGTGACCCAAAAATCAGCATCAGGTGGTGACCCCAATGGATTTGAGATCACCCTCCCCAATATTCTTAATTTCTCTCCCTGTTTTGCAAACACCTACTCAAGCACCCCGTAAAATGCTGGGGTTTCCACCCCGCAAATGCATTTTTTCACTTTTTTTTTTTCCTCCTTTTTTGCTGGTATTTTGGGGCAAAACCTGCTCTTTGCAACCCGGCATCTTGCTAAAACACACTTAATACATTTAAAAAAATAATAATAAACAAACTGGTGCAAACAGAGGGCAAAGAAATATTGCAGCGACTTCAGCCCCTTTGCAACCCTCGCTGCGTGCAATGCAACCTTGCACCCCAATGCAACTGGTGGCCAAAAACAAACAAACAAAATCACTAAAAATGGGGAAAATTGTCATTATTTGCTGTTAAAAATCATCCTGGAAGAAGCTCTCAGCCCCCCCGAAACTGCGGTTTCCCGCAGGTGCTGCAAACCCCAGCCGGGAAAACACGGGAGGGATTTGCAACCCTCGCAGAGCCTGCAAGAAAATGGGGTGAAAAAGCCCAGGAACGGGTGCGGGATAAGCCTGATGCGCTGATAACAAGACCTTGATGCTCACCTCCTCCCTTCCCATTGCTTATATATTTAGAAGCAATTAAAAACAACAAAATATATATATATAACAAAAGCCCCAATCGCTGGCGGCAGCGGGGAGGCGAAGAGCGACCTCCTCCCCCTGCAAGAGGATGCGATAACCTATAGATCTGCATTATATATATATATTTTTATATATATA